GTATAAATAGGTCGAAAATTCGTGTTTTAATAAATATTTTTATTAATAAACTCTTAATCATGTTAAACAAAGTTAAGGGTGTTTCAGCCGCAATTGCACTAAACTTCTTATTTTTATTGTTGCCCTTGAATACTAGTAATGTTATTGATGAAATGTATTCAAATCACTATTGTAGCCTAAGTGCATGTTGAATTTTTCCACGTTATCTTCTTTTAGCCGATAACAACAGCTAAAAAAAGGAGTCGTAATTGCCGAAAAGATAGAAAATAAAGAAATTCAGGATGCTGAACTTGTTTTTAGATAGATTTGAACGAAATTAAAAAATAAAAAGGTGTTTCTCGCATCTTAAGTCATTAAAAATACTCTGGATCGATTTTAGGTATTTCAATAAGAATAATATGCAGCAAAATCTTGAAGAAATAGCCAAACCGCAGCCTTTCATAGTTCTTCTATCAAATATCATATATGAAAAACTAAATCCCACCATTTTAATAAATCCCGCTTTAAATCCCGCTTTCATTTAAACGCTTTACTCCGTGGGATGTTCTCGTAAGTCAAAGACCTAATTTTAGGAGTAAATTTTTCAAAAAGCAGGGAGAGATCCTCCTTCCTCTCTTATCCGGACGCCCCTGATCATTGTTCTGTTGTTTTCTCATAGATTACTGGATGTCGCTATTCAACATTGTTAGGAATGACAATCTGAGAATTTTTGTGTGCATCATATTCTGCAGAAAATGAATGATATGTACTTGACGTTAAACAAAAATACTAGTTTTCTGAACAATCGACATTTCAAGAAAAAACAAAATTTTTGTTAACTGAACTTCATTCAAAGTCTGCAATAATTTTAGCATATAGGCAGTTCGATCTCAACGATCGTTCAAAGTCAGTCTTATCATTAGAACACGCTTCTTTAATGAACAGTGAACTTTTTAAAAACGCCTCCTAAATTTCTGTAAACTTTTAAAAGGTAAAAAGAAATGGGAAGAACGTGTCTGAGAGGTTCAAACGTCTCACCATATATGTCAGTCGACATGGGCAACAAAGTGATGTAAAAAACCAGGAGTATCCGCCCCCCCTCCTTAAATGCATAAATGATTTAGCTTACTATGTGTGTAATCTGTAATTATTATTATAGGTATCAAATAATAGTCACAAATAACAAAAATAAAAAAGCAACAATTGTGAACATGCCTAAGGATGCATTTGAAATTTTATTTCTACTACTATTTTGTGTTGATGAAGTTAAAAATTATCGTGTCTCGAAATCGAAAAAAATACGCGAAGAAAAAAAGAAAGCCAAAACAGCAGGAGAAGTTAAAATGAATCAAGTTCTACTGAAACATTTACGTGATAAAACATTTCCAATGGTAGAAACAACTACTATGACATCAAATGTAAGCACAAGCATTTTTTTAACTGCTCTCAATAAATTCGGAAACTTGAAAAAGAGTAGACATGTAAGTTTACTGTCGTATCATAAATCCATTTAGCTATATCGGGATGCTAAACTTGAGAGATCAAGATGAGCGGTTTAACCGATAATCAGGCCTCCTCGACAAAATAGTATTTACCTTTTTGATAAGCCTTAATGAGAGTGACGATAAGTATTCTAGAATTTTTTTTGTTGTTATAGAATGCTTACTCTTGTCAGAAATGTGCCACACAGGTATTTTGGTTTTTGTGACTCAATGGTACACGATTAGACTCAGTTTGTGATGGGGAATCCGAATATATCAATCCGGATCAATGTTGGACAGATCGCGATGGAGACAGCAGTCCGATAAACAGCTGTACAAATAGAGATCTACAACCGGAAATCCGATCCGATCCGAGGGTTGGTTCGAGTTAAAATGATGTTGTCAGGTCGAATTAGGGTTGATCCTTTTCCAGCACAGTTCAAAATACACTCAAGAGAGTAGTAGGGAGCTTGCCACCCAATTTATTGGCCTATAATTTGGCAATTCATCCACATTCACTCAACAGAGTAGTAGGGAGCTTGCCGCCCAATTTATTGGCCTATAATTTGGCAATTCATCCATAGTCATTCAAGAGAGCAGTACGGAGCTTGCCACCCAATTCATTGGCCTATAATTTGGCAATTCATCCACATTCACTCAACAGAGTAGTAGGGAGCTTGCCGCCCAATTAATTGGCCTATAATTTGGCAATTCATCCAGAGTCAGTCAAGAGAGGAGTAGGGAGCTTGCCACCCAATTCCTTGGCCTAGAATTTGGCG